TTACGTCATAGGATGTTTAATATTTGACAACTGCTGTGATTGGACAAGAATTGTCTTCCTACATTTGCGCCTCTTGGAGACCAAAAATACGGTAGCCCCCATTGGAAGGTGGTTGATTGAAACTTTAGTAAAACACATTGAGTTTGGGTATATCCATTTCTTTTAATGTCGTCATCATAATGATTAAAAGCGTGTTTTATAAATATTTTTGCATTTTGTATTGTTTCCCATACTTACATAGGTCTTTCAATAAAATGTATTTTGACTTGAAATCAATAAATACAGCGTGTTTGAATAATAGCTGAGGTTTATCAATAGTTATTACGAAATGATTGTTCAATTTGAACTTCCTGAAAATCTATAATGTTCATATTTGTTTGGGTCAAGCTTTTATCGGGAATTAATATAATAATGTTTAAATCATTTGTTTTCTAGCTATTTACCTTGTAAACTAAATAGGAATATTTCGTATTTACCGATATTAGTATGAATTTACGGTTGAATTTAATTTACGATGTAATTTTATGGATACGATTTAACTTTAGATAACTTTTCTGTTGTTGATTCGAAATAAAGATTTGAAGTGATTTCTTTGTTTTCGTTTTACTTATGAAACCCTTAATTATGATTACATTTCAAATGTAAATAAAAATTTAGTCGACAACTTCTTGAAGTCGGAAGTCACTTTTTTTGGGGGACATAAAACAGGTCGGTAAATGAGCAGACGGATCACCTGATGGTAAGCAATTGGCACCGCCCATGGACATATGAAATACCAGAGGCGGTACAAGTGCGTTACTGACCGAATTGAGGATTGTTGGGGATTCGGGGATTGGGGTAATTGGAACCCCGGTAACCTCACTCATGCGACGACATACAACGCAAGCGTTGTTTCACGTCGCTTTTCTTTGAGGCCGTGTTATCATTCCTGTCGAGCAGGCCCTTTCGTGCTGAAGCATGGCTCTCCCACACTAATTACTACAAATGACATTTTAATTGTTATGAAACTTGCTTAAAACTGTAGGTAGTCTTCGAAGCCTGAAAAAACACAGGAGTTGACAAAAATACAATGTACAGAAGTGACATTCGCTGGCCACCTTCAACGAAAACATTACATTATTGAGCGATGAACCCAGAAAACAAGAAGTTGAATTAAGTTTTAAGCACCCAATAAAAGTAAATTAGTTCCTTCCGAAATTAACCGAAATGGGAAAGTGAATCCATCAGATAATGACAGGTTCAGATTCTTTCGCCCTTATTTTTTATACTGAAAAATTTGTTTACTTGCCAAAGTATTTTTAGACTGTAATTTACTTCCGATGAGGTTCATGATAGGGCATTATGGAGCTCGGAAGCAACCACAAAATTGTAGACAGGATGATCGATTTTCCAACAGTTTGAAGATACTATAGCATGAAGGTGCCTTGGCTGACAGCCAAATGTTCAACTTAGAAACTTATATGGAATTGAGAAGATAAAGTTGTTTTATTGTTGTCTGATATGGTATTTTGTTTAGGAAAGAATTGTACTCTGTTTAAAAATATTTAAAGAAGTATGTCATAGCATAAATGGTTTCAGTTAGCGCTACAACTTCGATCTTCGTTTGCATATCCTCATAACATTGCGAGACAGCTTCGTTAGCCAAGTAACTGTACGAATAAGTGGCAAGCATGAGATCTCAAAGATCTGTTTCCAGATTTACCGAAATTTGTCCAATTGCCCCCTTACCCAATCTCCCCAACCCCCGAATCTCCAACATACTCAAATTCCTAATCCCGAAAAGCCCGGTAACACACTTGTAACATCTCTGGTATTTTAGGTGTCCGTGGGCGACGCCGATTGCTTACCATCAGGTGATCCGAGGGCTTGTTTACCGGCTTATTCCATAGTCATAATCGTAATGGTATGAAGTCTGGAATTGTGTCCGGTATATGGAAATAACTCACCCCATATTACTTACATAGACCTTAAATCTAACTGCTGAAAAAGTGGTGTTTCATTTCAACGCGCTCTGCCTAACCTTTTGAGGACGCTATGTTTAACTGTTTCAAAAAAAAATTACCAATAAAACATTCCCAACTTACAAGCCTGTCCTCACAACCACCGAACTACCACGCCAAACTTCTGCCAATATGGACGCATTAACCAAATCTAATTATGACATCCATATAGATAATGGAAGTGTCCTGTAGGCATCCGACATGCCTTATTAGGTTCACTGGTACAATTTCAGTATAAAAGCACCCGTAATACTATCAGTCGACACATTCAAGTTTCTACTTCTTTCCTTCGATAACACTTCCAGTACACTTAACAAGTAAGTATATCTATTGTATTCTTTCTAATTTGTCTTTTTATATAGTTTTTTTTGTAAAATGCTTTATGGTATAATTATTGGGAGTTCTAAGGGTGCAATATTTATATATATGTATAGGATTTTGTGTCTTATTATTCGGTAGTTGTATCGAATAATTATTAAATATTCGGTTCCTGCAACGAACTGTTGATGAGCTTTCTATGTTAAGAAACATATTAGCCAGCCTTGCACTGTACTTTATTGCAGTAAGTAGGTAATTAGGTTTAAATTTTGTATGCGATCATGGGGGGCTGATGTATTCGTTTTAGGAAAAAACAACAATTTATTATTTAAGATTAAAAAAATATATAAGTTCAGAAACATAACATTTGAGAAATTGGGGAAGCCATCGTAGTTCCATTTTATATCTTGGTTAATTAATTTAATACTTCCTAGTTTACCGATCATCAGAACTTATGTCCTAAAATGTCCATATATTGTCGAACTATAACATAAACGGCAAGGGGAAAAACCGCAACTGATTTACTAAATATAAAAGCTTTCCGTTTGGAAGGAATTGTACTAAAAGCAATATCGTCATCGCCCAATCTGTATTGCGGATATTTTGCACGTTTATGCTAAACACAAAATACAAAACAAAACTAGGCAGTAATCGCAGAATGAGCTAAAAATTATCATAAGCGACTAACCCTAATCCCGTTTTGAACGTCATTCAAGCGACTAGTATTATCTCGAGTCTCATAATGATTTCATATGCGGAAACATATTTTTTGTAGAAGTTTCGAACATTAGAGCATCAATCACGACATTTCGTATCCGGCAGGATTGAGAATTTATAATTTTAACTTTAGGAAGTTGTATTAACAATAATTGAGATTTAAACCGATCGTGTGATAACGAGATCCGCTTCCTAAAAGGCGCAATGCCGATTTAAAGGTAATTTTCATCTAGACTAATACCATTGCTCCGTAGTTAGGTGCAAGTTTAAATCTCGCCTTATTTAAGGAGCTATGTAAATCTGGTAACGATATAATCGGTGCCTATCAGCTACTTAGTACACGAACCGTGTCTAGAGGTTATTTACATTTGACTTTTGTTCGTCGGCGCGGAAGTAAAATGCTTTTGTTCCAAAATGTTGGTTTATTCTGCAACGTCATATGTGACGAAAAAAAAATTGATACGTTCAAAGAGAACGTGCTATTTCCCGTTCTAGGGGTTCGTCTTTAAGCTTAATCCGTTATTAATAAAAACTCGATGTAATTTCCTAAGACTTCGTAGGTTTTAGTCCACTGTTTTACCTTTAGCTTGAAAGTAACTCAATAAACAATATTTTGCCATTTCCACTTAAGCATAACTTAGTTAAGTTACCCATAAACGATTAGAAAAATCTATCACGTCATCACGCATGAATTAACAATCGGAATTAATTCAACCAAGTCACGGTACAGTTATTGAATAGCCCCAAAAGTATCATCCGAGTACAAACATTCTGGCGCCCCGGGCCACCTCTGAAGGCAAGCAACTACGTTCAGTCGCGACAGCATATTATGGACACGACCAAAAATATACTGCATAGTTTTGTCACAGTAGACATATTTTTAAGTGCAGAGTTATTATTCTAGATATTCAAATGTTTGTCCAAAATTAATCTCTTTGTTTAGTTCATCGTAAAATAAATTTAAATTTATTTATTTAGCACATTCGTAAGAGTCATTTTTTCCTCCGTTATATTGTAGGTACACGGAAAAAATCGTGAATGTAAACGTGTAGACATTCGTACAAATAGGAAAACGTAACCATTCAGTTTACGCAACAATGATTCATACTTTCCTTGAAATAAATCTAGCAATAGTTTCGCTATCAATCGAAGATCGCACCTTGGGCCACTTAAGTATTACATAAATCCCATACACGGATTTTCGTTGACCTTCACCGTTTCTTCTATAATAATTCATTGGCTTTTTATTGTGTTAAACACATTTTTATATATGCGGAAGAAATTATACACACATTCTGCAACCAGTTTAGATTGAATAAATATTTATGTTAATACTTTGAGATCATAATGTCCCATTGTTCTTTGTTGTTAATTCATAAACCAGTTTTAAACGTTTCTAGCATTTACGTGACATATCGATATTTTTTATTTGTTATTAGATAAAGTAATATAATTCATCACCTGTCATCGTTCTAGACATTTGGATTCTAAATATAGAAAGTTTTGTTGAATCTGGCATTATCTGCAAGGCAATCGACAAATCAATTAAGAATAGACAGTCGGATTATAATAATTCTAAATGCCATTTTTTAAAGGTAATTAGTTTTGACAGCATAATTTTGTGTTATGAATGACTAGGATTATTCTAAATTTAGAACAACAAAAGCTCATTGAATCCAAATAAAGTTTTTGATTTAGATAACTTTAATAACTTGTACAATACTTTCTAAAATTTTTAATTCTAAAATACAATATGACGCAATAACACCAAAAAATTACACTAAAAAGTCTGAAGTACTTGATCCATATTAACATCAACGTAGAGTCATCGACTTCCTACTTAGAACTTTCGTCTTTCGCAAAGGTACTGAGCAGATCCGTTTCCTGGGATATCCCTTATGCGCACCGCTCGCCCCACCCCGCTTGCAACCATAGTTAAGTAGTTACATATTTAAACAAGTTCCATTTACAAGCGGTCGTTGGCCAGAATTTTCCGTTAAATATAATATAAATTTCGATCGTTATAATTTTGTTTATCGTTGCGTTGTCATTATCACGATGAAATGAGCTTTGATAGTGTTGTGCCATTATGGTCCCAAATGTCGAACTTTAAGGTTTTTGTGATTTGTGAATGAGGTGAGTTTGTGTGTTCTTTTTGGATTTTGTATTTGTGTGAAATGCTGAATATACGAGTAGGTATTTCTTAATTCGTAAGTAGTTTTTGTTTCACATTTTGTGTCGTGACTGGGAACAGCAAATTAAGAAAATAATAAGATCTTTTTGAAATATTAACTATAGACTAACGAAATTTCCATGAAAATAGAACAAAGGGATGAGAATAATTAGAAGGTTAGACATCTTTTTCTGTGATTTTTTTATTCAACTTTAATAATACCTGGATAGGTAACATTAACTTTGTACAGGTACAACTAAACACTATTATATGAATCAGTAGTTTTAATGTTCTAAAATTCGTGATATTATCATTCCTTTCTTTTGAAATTAATTTTTTCATCACCAACATTGAATAGATAAACATATCTAATTATTATGTAAATTGTTTGTATAGAAAGCTCAATTATGTTTACCATATTACTGTTTGTTTTTTTTTTTGTACGAAACATACAACCAGTATATTAACACTTATAAATTGCGCTAGATAATTATGACGTCAATATTTTCCCAGATCAAAATGGCCGGCAAGATCACCGCTGCTTTTTTCGTCTTCGTTACCGTCGCTTTTCTCGCAAACGTCGGATTTGTCGTCGGCAACCCTGCGATCGGTAAGTCAAACTCTACCCTTAGTTTTTTTGGGACACACCTACCCGCTACAACCTCCCAAAACCGCTGCAACTCTGTAAGCCAGGATCAACAGTAGTCACAAATTTGAAAACACCGGAACACTGAAGTCTGGCGCATCACAGGGATATGAATAACTCTCTTGGACCTTTAGTTATAAAACCTAAACCTTTTAAATTAAAAACCGTTTGCTAAGTGTGAATATGATGGTAAACCAAAAAACTTCTGATGAAGAAGTCCTTAGTAGACTATAAAGGGCTGCTAATGATGACATACATTTAATACTTATGATTTACATTGGATACAAAAAATAAATCGCTAGTACAATAACTTAGTCTGAATTAAATTATTGTGCGTTAAACAGTTAGTTAGAGAAAAGATAATTAAGCCTTTGACTGTCGACAGAAAACTGTTGAAGGTAAATCCTCGACTATCGTGGCCCATACCTTGTTCCCCATGGCGTTCAAGGTGTTAAGCTAAATGCTAAGTGCAAAGTATGGATCTTCATAAAATATCGTTTGACAGTAGTATGAAGTTCCCCGCAGACACAGTTACACGAGTTTCAAGATTTGAGGACGGTGGTTCACCCATCTGCCATTGGACTCTGGCATGCGTAACTCAACATCAAACGCGACCGTAGCTTTGACATAAGCGAAATTAGGTATTCAAGTCAATAACATAGTGAAACTCGCAAGTCTCGCAACCCTTTTTACGTTCGTGAAAAACGTCAATCTTCCCACTTTGTCTCGTCTAGTATATTATTTATTTTTCCTCATACTTTGTATGCGGGATGTATTCTCACCATTCTAAATACGCCACTTGAAATATTTCGCAAGATCTACGTTTTTGACTCGCCACGTGTTGTTGGGGTTTCTGCTGTTGCGTTCGTAAATACAAATAGATTTGCTGGTTTTTCTTTTTTGTAAATTGTGTGGGATTTTTTTAAAGTTAAGTTGTTTTCGGGCTGCCACTAATGTTCTCAGTATCGATAGTTATATTATATTGAGTAATCACATGTGGAATTGTAGCACAAGTACCTACCTATTTCCCTGAATCTAAACAAAAACAATCCATTATAGAATTCAGAATTCCAGAGTATAAAAAATAAGTCGCTAACGATCTATATATATCTTTATTAGTTAGTAAAGTCTAATATGGTGTAAGGTGTCGCTAGATTTTATAATACCTTGTTATCGCATTGGGTCCTAAACCTGTAATGTTAACTTGTGTGTGTAATAAATAAATAAATAAATAAATAACACTAAAAGTAAGCCATATTTATATTATTATAGTTCAAGAATTTAATAGAGCATAACAACACACTCCCATTCAATAAAACCAAAGTGGTCGTTTAGGATTATCGTGATATCGTGAGCATCACCGAGAGGTCAAGAAAATAATCTTAAAATACCTGGTCTTTTAAATTTTGGAACAAAAACCTCATTGATCCAGGTGTCTAGAGGACATTGGGTACAATTGCTTCTATATCGTGATATGTAATAGCTTTAATAGGCCTGTTTTGACCAGGGGTGGATTTGACTAGAAGACTGTAGACTTAGGGCCCCAAGGGCCCTGCAAGTACCAATTTAGCATGTTAGTGTACATGGCTTAAGTGTTATTATATTAATATCTCAATGAAAATATCTCAATAGTGGCACGTAGTAAGAAATTTTGGACTTACAGGCTCACTCTATATTAGATTCTGTTTAGATTTTGTGCAATTTTATCTGCCTTATCCCTCGAAGATTAAAAGGCGTGACGTAATGTTTCTAATATCTAACTATAGCAGTTTTTATTATTCTTTAAAGTATAACTGATTCTTATACCATTTGAATCTTATTTTTACTGTAACTATATTATAAATCCCCACTACCTATTCATTTCGTTCATCGGGGTGCCAAACGATCGGGTCCCTGTTTACAGTTCGGCCCTGTCAACCGTTATACCACAGTCCATTGAAGAAGTTCAATCTATATTATCATGATAAGACCAGTTTAGATATTTTAACACTACACACGTGCTAACTTTAAATTCATAAGGCCACTTTTAACATAAAGACTAAACGTGACTGTCAAAGAGTGTTTAAGAATCATTGTCTTTGTTTTATTTATCTTAATTGAATCTTAGATTAACATAGGTAACGTTCTAGAAGTTAGACTGATGTTATAGTTTAGACAAGTGAATTATATTGCAAGCTTAGTTCGAGATTTGCTAATCTTAGATAAGGTTATGATTTCAAAGACTTGCTGTTTTAATTATGGTTGTTTTGGATATGAGTCCTATTATAATATAAATTGGCCGAGTGGTTGTAAGTGCGCCGGTCAAGGGGTAGAGGGTTCGATTCTCTTTTTTTTAATTTCAGTAGTAGCATGGAGTTTGGGATTGTGCTCGGTATATGGCAATTAGCTCACCCCCTATTACATGGGACTTATAACATAATTAGTAAAAAGTGGGTGTTACACTGTAGGTACAGTGGCATTAAGTGCTGCAATGTGCACCTCGACCTACCCCTTCGGGGATAAAAGGCGTGAAGTTATGATATAATTTAACTGTAATTATGAACCGTGTAATGACGAAAGTGAAAGAATGCATTTGTCAACTTGTTAGGCAGATAAAATTTGATGTTGAAGTAGAGGAATTAAAATACTAGCAAAAATATTTGCCTTTGTTCTTTTAAAATAATAAATTTAAGTCGCTGAATTTTAAAGCAAAACTTTTACATTCCTTATATTAGGCAATTAGTGGGTAGGTAATTTCGCATGTGAAGTCTAGAGTACTTCAAAGACTAGGCAAAGTATAAAACTCAAGTCACTTTAATTAATAAACTTCCAAACTTAGTTACATCAACGAAAAAATTTAAAACTTCTCCAGTTCTTGACATGTTGGCTACAAGCTACAATTAATAGCCACTTCGACAGAATTCGTAAACAAGTTAGTTTGTAGACTTTTTGCAAACGAAAAAGGTTCAAGTCTTTTGTCGTTAAAAGAAGGTTGCTTGGGCTATTTTTTTAAAACATCTAGTTTATATTCTCATCTCATAAACAAGAGATGTATTCAGGGTCCGAGCGCGTGAGACAATGACCCCAATCCGCAATTTGGACACCTCACTTTCGCTGAAGTTGCGCAATTTCACCTTAACGGCTTACACTTGACCTCGTAGCGACAATCATGCATTTAGACTCTCTGTTATTTGGATAATATTTTATTAGAATCTTTGAAAATGATGTTTAGGAAAATTAGACGATGACTTTTGTTGGTAAGTTACATGATTGTTTATTTTGAACTGATATTTAAGAAGCAACTAAACAGTAAAAGGTTAAATGGTGATTACCTAATCAGGTATAAAGTCAAAGTCAAAGTCAAAGTCAAAGCATTTATTTCAATTAAACCATAGTTTGGTACTTTTGAAACGTCAACAAATACAAAATAAATAATAGTCTGTCAGTCAGTCCGTCAGAGAAGCTAGGTGAAGCTAGGTGCTCATTCCAAAACGTAGATTCGAATGGAGAAGAACGAGCAAGAAACTACATTCGTTACTCTTTTAAAAAAGTATGTTCTACAATGTCTCTGATACATATTTTAGTACATCCTAATCACGCCAAAATAGTTAAATTGATCTACATCACATGGTGATGGCTTGTTTATTTTTTCGATAAACGTATAGGCTTATTACAGCTTCATACCATTTTTGATCTCAAAAATGTAGCTTCGTTAGCCTCGTTGACCGAGTGGTCGCAACTGCGACTACCGGGCAAGGGGTCTCAGGTTCGATTCCCGGGTCTGGTAAAGTAATACTGGGTTTTTAAAAAAAAACTCAGTAGTAGCACGGAGTCTGGAAATGTGCCCGGTATATGGCAATAGGCTCACCCCCTATTACATGGGACTCATAACATAAATACTGAAAAATGAGTGTTACATTGTAAGTGGTATACTGGTATCCGTACCTATATCCTGCGGGGTGAAAAGGCGTGATGTTAGGTTAAGCCAAAGAGTGCACTAGACCCGCTGACACAATAACCCCTGCTGACGAAAATGGGACTAAAATTTCACTACATTGTAAGTACTCATCAGGGTAGGTACTTCATTAGAACCATGTTCGGGTGCTCCCAAAGGGAAAGTCGGCCTCTACGCAGAACACGTTGCACCACTCAAACAGAATTTCAAATTCAAATCCCATCTAGAAAGTTCCATTAGTCCTTTGGGACAGTCCAACGTTTCATTTTCTCACATTTGTAGCTAACTAAGTTCTAAATGCGTTAAGGAATCCCACGTGTCCCCTTCAAATTAATATTAAATTGGAAAAGTACTTAGATGTTTCAGCTTTGGTGTATTTTTGGGGGGCCAAGAGGTCTTTGGAATCAAGGCTTTATTTTGAAGGGTTTTATGTTATGCTTACACAAAGCAATTATTCAGTTCTTTCAACATCCGATAGTCCATGTCTGATAATGCTACTTTACGTACGTACGTACCTAACAGATATTGCTCAATCGAGGATCGAAAAGCAGAACTGTCATAAAATTGCAACAGATCCAAAAACTGAAACAAAATTACGAGAATCTACCGGCGTCTCACTTAAACTTTTATTTGCATCGAGCGTCAGTTTTATGAGCCTCGTCATGACTTGAAAATAGTCGAGGAGTTATGTAAGCACTACATTCTAATTGAAATCAACTTTATCATCAAAAACCTGATTAAAATCTCAAATAATTTTGTCCTAGCAACTGGCTACGATCCCCTGGAGGTTTGCATCGAGAACTGCGCACAATGCAAGAAGATGCTGGGCGCGTGGTTCGAAGGTCCCCTCTGCGCTGAATCCTGCATCACCTTCAAGGGAAAGCTGATCCCTGAATGCGAAAACTTCGCGTCAATCTCACCTTTCCTAAACAAACTTTAATTTTCTACTATGAAGCTGTATGGATTGATTTGATTGATTGAGTATCTCTGTGAAATGCCATTCGGTAGTAGGTACAGGTCTTATTTTATGTTGTGCAAAATATGTGCAGGGACTGTTTTCGTTTTTTTTTCAAGGCTCTTTGAAATGTATAAGAAATAATTTATTGTTTGAGCAAAATATATGTTAAATGTTTTAATTTTTACTTAAAAGTTATATTTTCCAAGTCCTACGCTCTATTTTTCAAATCGATACTTAATTAAAACATTTCCTGCCTACCCGTTTTGGGATACTACTACTGCTAAACTGTATTAGGTACTAATTTCATAGTGATACTCGATTGATACGAGATCTATTAGAAAAACATTCCAACCGACGACATGCCAAAGCATTTGATACTCTATGTAATTAGATTTAAGTCGATATTTGTAAGTTTTATACTCGTTTATATTACAGGGATTAATGTAAGATAATATTGAAAAATAAAAGAATTTTATCGATTATGTTCATCTTTTATTTGTTCTCGATCCATAAAAACTAGTTTATGTACAAACATTAGAATAATATTACAACAATATTACCATATATTATGTCTTTACCATTCACGGGACCACAGAGTCCCAGTCATTTGGAAGGCCCGAGGCTTTAGACAACTATAATCAAAATACAGTGGGACACAAATCAGCGACAATCCCTATATGCACTATGGAAATACACCTAAGGACACTAACCGGTAGTGTTAAAGTTAGATAATGGAAAGTGGTAGGACTATGGATGGGTGTCTGTAGAATGGTAAATTGGGAACTTATCAGTATACAGCAACCCCATTTTTGGGCCCCCGGGAATGGTTTTTCAACCATATTATTATTAATTATTGCATGCTTAGTATTACTATCATAATTTCCTTCATACAGTATAAAAATTCTACTTTACCTTATAATAAGACTTCCCACTTATAATATTAGTATGGATTTATTATATCCACGTAAAAAAATATTTTATTGCATACAAACATCTCCAAGTTATTATAATTAAACTTATATTTACTTAAATAAAACGTATTCAATACAAATGCATCACTTGAAACTTAAATAATTCTTTATAGCTCTTTCGTTAAGAAAATAAAGAGTCATATGCCTATGTAAAAGCCATGTAGTGGACGGTAGATTAGAATACATTATGGTGTAAACAGAACACTCCAGAAACGCTGTCAAAAAGAAATTGTTTTAGCAATTGGGATAATGAAGGGGTATGAAAATTAAAAATCTTATTAGTCCGTAAGTTAGGTAATGAAAAAATATTAGACACGTATTTTTTTATTTTGTTGTATAATAAAATAATACTTAGACAAAACTAATCAAAGTTTAGGGAGTTTAGGATATTTCATTTCTATGTTCATAGAAGTGACGTCACGCGACATTTCAAATCAATATATCGTCGAAAGTATTCGTTTCTGTAAGAAAATAAAAAATATGTGACTAATTTAAACTGTCAACACCAAGCGGTCACCGGTGACCGCAACCTATTGTTCTATAATTGTGTCTACAAAACCGGTACTCGACGAGTTATGATTTAAAATAATCTACCAGACGGACATTAAAATAAAAATTAGGCATTTACCCTATTTTAATAGTTTTTGTTTTCGTGTTATTCATGCAACATCAGCCTTGACGAGTTGATTACAATTATTATTACACAAAAGAAACATTTAATTCCTTAATTTTATAAAATAAAACTTGTTTTGTACCATCACCTGTCGGCGTTTTTTGGGGAGCTTTTCGTTTGCACCCTGTATTTTGTTCTACTTTTCCCAAGGCTGTCGTAAGAACCTACTAAAAGGCTGCACATTTGATTTGACAGATCAGGAAGCTCATCAACGAATATTGATAAAACTTAACTTTTTATACTGCGATTTTTAAATTCACCTGTAGTTGTAGACAAATGTCATTTAGCGCTTGTCTACATGTAGAATAGAAAACCAAATTATATGAGATTGACGTAAATTTTGTGTCATCCCCACACATTTAGTTTTCTACTCTTTATGTAGACAAGCGCTACAGTGGGGTTTGGCTAAAGGCGCTGTTAACAGAGGCGTGCACAGGTATTAACGACAGGTTGTACAGTTATTCTTCGTCTTAGGGTTGATTTTTCAATCAACAGATAAATAGAGTCTGTCAAGTGAGTCTAGTCCTATGAAAAAGGGCGACAAATTCATAGATCTTTCAGGTGTCAACACTGATATAGCACGCTGAAAACTTATTGTTTTTTTTATTTATTTTTTACAAACTAGCAGCCTGTCCTGGCTTCGCACGGGGTAGACAATTATTTATTTTTGGAAATTTAGATTGTTGTACAACTACAATAGTTGGACATATGCTACCGCGGAGTTTTTTGTAGACATTAATTGATGTTCTTCAATATTGTTATACATTATTTTGTTCTATCGCTAATAGTTTCGGTAGTGCATTCGACGAAAGACATTTTGATACAAATTTTTCGACACTTTCGGTTACATTGTTCAAATTTTACCAAGGATCCCTAATTTTATTCAAACTGAAATGTAGCCTATGTCAAATTGGAAGAATGTAGCATTCTATTGGTGAAAGAATTTTATAAATCGGCCCAGTACTTTTTGAGCCTATTCATTACAAACATACAAAAATAGGTACAAATCTTTTCTCTTTATAACATTAGTATAGATATGTTTTTTTTATCATAAATTCAAGTATCAATAAGTTTTCAGCGCGCTACATCAGTGTTGACACCCGAAAGATTTTTAATTTGCCGCCTATTTCATGGGACTAGACTCGCTTGACAGACTCTAAAGTCAAGGATGTACTTTTTATTATTTTTTTTAAGGGGGGAAAATCATCGAATGACTTCTCCCGCCTGGGTGAGGCGGGAGGGAGTGTCAGACTCTTACTGACTAAAAACCACCCCGTTCCTTCTCCTGCACGTCGAGCCGGAGCCCCGGTTACCCGTTAGGTTCTCCGCGACCAGGAGACATATTAATATCCTGCGACACGTGTCGCCAGCGACATTGGTTGAAGTAGCGAAACGTTGCCGGACTTTGGTCGACATGTTTGGCAACATCAACGTCGCTGTGGACCAGTGTCGCGTGATGTTGCCAGACTTTAATTAATTAAGCTCTTGATTTGTTTATAAGTGCCTTCTTGAATTCAAATAAATGTTTTGGCTTTCATTATTATCATCAACACCCTATAAACGCCTGCTGCTGAGCAAAGCCTCTTCGCAACCGGTTAAAGCATCATCACATTTGCTTAATGTCAACCCGCATTGAACAAGCATTGCTTTGACATTCCTATATCCAGCGCTGTACAGAAACAGGAGGTCTACTCTGATTCGACGAAAAACGAAGTTTCGGACGAAACTTCGAACATTACCTACCACAATGGCATTTGTTACGAACGAAAAAGGAATGAAACAAGCCAGAAATTAGTATGAGATGTACTGTTTGACATCGATATTTTCGGAACCCTACTCTAATTGTACAATCCGCACGAACGAAAATTCGAGTTTGACAGATTATTCTTCGGACGTTTAATGTCATTTCGACGAAACCAAAATAGTTATCCTTTGATTTTCGTTTGGGTTAAATTTATTGAAAAATGAAGGAAAGTAATTATAAGTCTTCGTTTTATCACGGTTTCTTTGTGTGGGCAACACGTAGGGCACCAAAGGAACTACTTAAATGACGATATAAAATCAATGTACAGTCAGCTCAAATAGTTTGTTAACACAAACCTATATATTTTATATGTCTATTGCCCGAATACTGAAACGTTACTCAATTTTAAGTCGCGCTTAAGCAAAGTTCTGTCTCCACTAATTCTTTGTAAAATGACAGAGATAGCACGATATTTAAGCACGACTTAAAATTGAGTAACGTTTCAGTATTCCAGCATAAGAGAGTTAGTAACATTTAGGGTAATCAAATACTTATTTGAATACCTTATGTATTGTACATAAATGTTTCATGTGTAATGTTTTATTTTAAAACTAATAATACCGCTTGAAAAATTAACTTAAATATTGCTAATATATATTTTCGCTATTCTTTCACATCTATTAATATACCAATATTTATAGATAAGATAAATTCTTTCAAAAATATATTGTTAATCATCATAACACGAAATAATTTAGTCTCTTCAAATTCTAATGTAGACATTTATAATTTTTAAACTGACTGTACTAATATAATACGAATAAATTTGGTTGTCATTATTTTATACATAAATGTCAATAAATGACATTAAAACAACATTCTAAAACTTTTTAATTTGGTCGTATAATAAATTTCTGAAAGGAGGTTCTTATCCTGTTGAAGATTCTCCATCTTAAAAGTTAATATTAAAAGATTATTCATGATTTTCTTGATGATTATGTGTGCTAAGCCATGGCATTATTATTTTAGTAATATAATTACTTAAAATAAAATTTTATATTTAATTTAAAATCTAAACCTACTTATTGCATATTTATTTATCTTCACTTCATTCGTTCATTGTAGTTCACGAAAGTTGTCTATGGTTCCGAAAACGTTGTTTGCCGCCGCAAATCAAACGAAACTTCGCATTCGAGAACCGGAGTAGACCTACAGGACATTTAACCTCATGATTGCCGGTATTTGAGACACCATAGAAAATATATCGTGTCTCGCATAGATCTATCTTCCGGGTTAAACTAAACAACTTTAAATTACGATTATGACTCATTATTTTCATAACTTAAACATACTATGCATGTCAGTAGATATATTTAAAATTATATTAAGTCCTACAGTTCACTTGTAAGTCTTTCTCACTTAGTAGTCGCTGTTACGAGCGTTGTAGAACGATGGTCAGTTGACTGGAACTTCTAAAGGCTGGGACGCATCATCTGTTGGTAGTCCTTGGGTAGTTTCTTGGGCTGCTAGAAAAGAAAAAAAATTTAGTATGCAATTATGCAGAGTTGTTGAGAATGAATTCCTAATGAATAACAATTTCTCTAGTGTAGAAATCCAACTAGTGTAAGGTAAAGAATTTTGCATATATGAGGTAGTCCTCTTATATCTAGTTTATACATATAATAGCCTCGTTGGCTGAGTGGTCGCAAGTGCGACTGCCGGGCAAGGGGTCTCGGGTTCGATTCCCGGGTCGGGCAAAGTATTACTGGGTTTTTAGTCAAAATCTCAGTAGTAGCACGGAGTCTGGAACTGTGCCCGGTATATGGCATTTACTATTACATGGCCCTATTACATGAGACTCATAACATAAATAGTGAAAAGTGGGTGTTACTTTGTACAGAGGCATTAAGTGCCGTAATGTGCACCTCTGCCTACCCCTTCGGGATAAAAAGGTGTGATGTTATGTTATGTTATATAATAAAACTGTAGAAGTGTAATATTGCGAATATGCGATATTTGTGTTTATTTGTTACTCAGTAACATTAAAACAGCTGACAGGACAGGGATGAAATTCGGAACAGAGCTAGATTAGGCCTTTTTACCCCTAGGAACACGGGCGAAGCCGCTGGCAGAAGCTAGTTAATAATAAGGTAACTTACTCTCTGTCGGTATAGCAGCTAATTCTGCTGGCACATCCATTGGTTCTGCTGTTGATGTAACTCCTGAAGGCAACTAGAATGATAAAGTATTCGCTGTGATTACAATTAACACAAAAAATAATTCAAGAGAAAATGCCGTCTTTGCTAGTGCAGTAAGCGCGACTGTAAATCAGAGATAAGATTACAGGATCTCAGGTTACATTTTTAAGTCAGGTAAAGTTAAAGAAAAAAAAAAAGAAATGACTGCAAGGTTGGTGCGGTGACTGGGCAACCGGCTGCCGTGCAACGTGTCGCGGGTTCGATTCCCGCACGGAACAACACTTTGTGTGATCCACAAATTGTTGTTTCGGGTCTGGGTGTCATTGTGTATGTGAACTTGTATGTTTTACAAAAAAGAAAAAAATAAAAGAAGAAAGAAAGAGTTGCTAATTTTGGATATTAAAATTATCACTAATATCTTGAAGTCGGGAATTTTATTATATGGCATTTTATCCCTTCAGTATGTGCAATGAACATAATGGGATGTAAAGAGAACAAAACATAACATCACGCCTTTTATCCCCGAAGAGATAGGCAGAGGTGCACATTACGGCACTTACTGCCACTATACAATGTAACAGCCACTTTTCACTATTTATGTTATGAGTTCCATGTAATAGGGGGTTAGCCTATTGCAATACACCGGGCACATTGCCAGACTCCGTGCTACTACTGAGGTTTATTACGAACCCAGTAATACTTTGCTCGACCCGGGAATCAAACCCGAGACCCTTTGCCGCGCTTGCGGCCACACATCCAATGAGGCAGTAAACTGAACACTTCCAAAAAAAAAACACTTTTAATTGTTTTTGTTTACGTCATATTCATAGAACATCAACCTTTATTGGTTGATTACAACTATCATTATATAAAAGAAACATTTAATTATTTTTTTTTTTTATATTTGATGGGCCGACGTTTGACCACTATCTCGCCTGTTGGTAACCGATGATGCGGTCTACGATGGAGCACGTCGTCCCATAAGCAACCTATTTACTCGGGCCTTGATGACTCCACTCTTTAGCAGTACGCACAAGGAAGCTTAAAGCGAGTTAATTAATTAATTAAGTCCTTAATTTTATGACATAAAACCTGTTCTTGACCTTCACCTGTAGGCTTTTTTCAGGAATATTCCCTTAACACTCTATATACTAAACTTTCAAGAACAATCACTGCAGTCGACTTACCTCTGGTGCTATTCTCATAATCTTGCCGACTTTATGTCTGACACTAAACGGCGCACACGCCTCGTAGTAATTTATGACAAACTCCGGGTAGGCTTCACCCAAATCATGGCCCGGTACCACGTCGAAATCTGTACAATTGTGCCTGTGAACATTTTTAAGAAAACCTCATTTATTCTTATACAATAAATCTATACTAATATTATAAAGAGGAAAGATTTGTATTTTTGTATGTTTGTAATGAATAAACTCAAAAACTACTGGACCGATTGCAATTATTTTTTCACCATTAGAAAGCTGCATTATTCAGAAGTAACATAGGCTATATAATATCACGCTAGGTCCTATAGTTGTGGAGCAGTAACCAATCGTTTCTGAGGCCTTCCGTGGCGTGCGCTGAGCATATAGTTAAAGTTATACAAAAATGCTCTATACAGAAACTCAGGCAATGTGATGGGAGTAAGTAAATGAAGTCCGGAAAAATATTTTCAAAAGGTAAATACTTCCTAAATAAAAAAAAAACTGAGAATAAATATAAATAAATCGTAAAACTATGTAAAAAATCTTAAGTCCCCCCGTGCGAAGCCGGGACGGGCCGTTAGTATTATATAAGTTGTTAAGTTATACATCGTACTAGCTTCTGCCCGCGAATTCGGACGCGCAATCCCTTTTTCTCCAGTTCCCATAGGATTTTCAGGATTTTTTTCTGTCATAAGAACCTTCTTCAGACAATAACAAACAACAAAAAAAAATCAGCCAAATCGGTCTAGCCGTTCTCAAGTTATGGCGTGACAACGGGAAACGGGTTTCATTTTTATTTAATATGTACTGTCTTGCAGTTTTGCCGTTAGAGGCGCTATTATAGTCGCGGAGAACCTAACGGGTAACCGGGGCTCCGGCTCGACGTGCAGGAGAAGGAACGGGGTGGTTTTTAGTCAGTAAGAGTCTGACACTCCTCCCCGGCTCACCCAGGCGGGAGCAGTGACTCGATGATTTTCCCACTTTAAAAAAAAAGTTGCCCTATTATATCTATAGAGTTAATTGTAGGTATTCTCCTTGCTTTCCATGGTCTGCCTTTTCTGACATTAGGGTTTTTGTGTCAGGTTGGTGCTTAGAAGAATAAAAAGTGTTTTATTCAGTATCAAAATTCTTATTTCAATCCGCAAATATTAGTCAAATCCCAATGCAAGTCACTTAAAAACTGCATCAAAACTATAGTGTTCTTACCATTTGACCAAAAAGAATAAAGTTCCATGAAACAGTTGACCAGCTAGAATCTTCTCAGGCATTAGGCCGCGCGCTAACCCACGTGGCTTCTCAATCTCTTGTATTACCTGCAAAAAAAATAAATATATATCAATTACCAACCTAAAATTTGAGAAATGTTGACCAGAAATTAAATTGGAGCAAGAAAATGTAAGGTAAATAACAGAACCCACATTAAGTGATATTTATAGAACACACATTTGTATATTTTTTTTTAATTGAATAAGCTGGTAAACGGTCAGACGGATGATCCGATGGTACTTAAGCAATCAGCGCCGCCCAAGGACAACCGAAACACCAGAGGCGTTTCGGAAATTGGAAATTTGAGGATTGAGTTGACTGGGGGAGGTAATTGGGCCTCCAGAAACCTCACTTATACGACGAAAAACAACAAAAGTGTTGATTCACGTCTGTTTTCTGTGAGGACATGGTCAATACGTTGATTTGTTATGTTGTATGACTAGAACTTTACTTGTACTTGAAATTAGTTTGTATTGTAAATAGACTAGTTACAAAATAGATTAACATGTGAACATTTTACACTAGAACTAGAGGAGGCAGTAATATCCGATCTGACTACTCTGAGAGGAAACACCGAAACTCAAGAGGTCAATATTCTATTTTAACTCGTTGAATACCGTCATTATAGACACAATTATAGAACAATAGGTTGCGGTCACCGGTGACCGCTCAGTGTTTGACAGTTTAACATCAGATTAGAACATTAGTATAATATTCCCTTTTTATCGAATTTAGTAAAAAAGTTGAATAAAAGATAGTGCAAAACATTACCTCATTTTTTTTCTTCTTCTCTGCTCTCCTACTCCTCTTACGGCTAGCCAAGTTCTCTTCTATAGGGTCAGGAGCAGCAGCGGCAGTGGCGGCAGCTGCAGCAGCTGCAGCAGCGGCTGCAGCAGCAGAGGCAGCCGCGGCAGCTTCCTTCTCCCTCTTCATACGAGCTTCTTCATATGCAGATATGAGTTCAGGACAGTCGAGGTTGTCCTCTGGTTCCCAAGTGTTGTCGTCACTGGAAGATGATCAATTAAGTTAGAATTTGTTTGTTAGTTGGTTACAAGGTATAGACTGAATTATCCTGGTAACAGGATAATCATGCATGCTCATCTTATCCAAGGGGTGGCCAACTCGATCAGACATAAGATTAAAACTTTTTACTAACAAAATCCTGTGCGTTCTACCACTTACATACTTCTATCATTTCATGACTGACTTGGGACATGAGGTGTTCCTCAGTACCTACCTACTAAAAGAATAACACATACAGATGTCTGTAGGTACATGTCACTTGTTTTTTAGCGTGAAATATCCTTTTGTCTGTTGAAAGTTAGGGGTGTAAAGTGTTTTATACCGGGAGCCGGTGTTTCAACAGATTAAAGGATAAAGTTCTTTTTTTTAAAATTCAAATTCATTTATTAATTGTAAACATAATACTTCATGGGCAATATGCAAAAAAACATGGCCGGCTTTACTTATTTTTTATTTGTATTCTCTTTCTGTATGTATTGGTACAGATCTATGTTCATATTTATTTTGTATCATTGTATTACCTCCATCAATGCTTAAATTAGTTCAGCTAAAAGGTAACACAACATTAATTGACTGCTAGGCGGTACAAAGTTTGCTGGGTCAGCTAGTAATATATAAATACCAACTATTACAGCGTCATTTTGTGTAATTATTCTATATATTTTATAATTATGTGCTTAACACTATGCTGTATCATTTAAGAATTCAAGAAAGAAAGATAAATTATTATTTTTATTAAGACCCTAATGTTATGTGAATTTATGTGTATCTTCTAAATGTTGCAATGATTCAATGCGATGGTAAATTTGACCTTAAATCTGTAAAGTCAAAGACATAGTTAGATTTACAATCACTTTTGTTTTCAAGTGGTAACATGAAATTTTTAGATTAGAGAGAAATACAGAAATCTAATAAACTATTATACATTCCAGCAATTTTTCACCATCACAGAAAATAAAGTCTAACATAACCCTATGTTGATCTGTACGATTAGCTCGACAATTTCTCGTTTCTAACCTAACCGTTTCACGGCTTTCTTCTTGTGTTTGAGAAGCATGAATTAAGGCTCTTTTTCGCTTCATACTAACGCGGCGCTCTTCTCGTGTAATTTCTCGCTCTTGCCCAGAAACGTGACTCACGATCTTCCATTGCCTAATTGCATTACGGCTTCGCTGGGAGAGATTAGATCTTCTAGGACGCGGCATTATTAGGAACGCTAACGAAACCGAAATCCTAATAATATATTACTTAAACAGTAGTGAATTCCAAAAATCGAAAATGATTCATCTTTTATAATTATTCTCGTCAAGGTTTCATAATTTTTAAGATGTATTCTAGTATTCGGGTCGGGGACAAATCCAATGAACCAAAAACTATGAAAATTGGTCTAGCCCATCTCGAGAAGCATTGTTACAAACCCGTGTTTGTTTTATAATTATATTTAAACATATAATATAATATACATGTAATATAATATAAAATCCTCCTCTTCCTTGAGGGTCTCAGGGCGAGAGGATTGGGAAATACCGACTCTCACGAGTCGAGATGGCATTACTTACAAACACATATAATAAATACAATAATATAGAATAGATTTGGCTTGTCATGATCGACTGGAGTAATGGTTGTGATCAACCGAGGTTGGCCACCACTGTTTTATAGCAGTATTAGTTAACTCTTGTTGACCCATATAAATTATCATTTTAACCCGTTGAAATCCACCCCCTAAATTTGGTCATACAAAAGTAGTCTCTAAACATTACAAATAAGGTCTATAATGTAATGTAATATTAGTGGAAAGTGGTCACCGGTGACCGCTTGGTGATTTATGGGTTAATTAAGTTTCTAATTAGTCAATTTAACTTTATACTGTATACTATGAGTGAATAAAATGAATAAAATGTAACTTACTCAGAATAACCCTTCCACTTGAGTAAATATTCAACTTTGCCATTCTTCATCCTACGATCCAGAACCTTCTCTACAGAGAACTCTTCGTGTCTGCCGGCTTGAGGACCTGATGATGGAGCCATACTTGCTGGAGCAGTTTCCATCGGCTGAGCGGTTTGTGGGTAAACCAGATCTGGCTGAGTCAGAGATTCCATTGATTCATCCATAGTTCAAGCTAAAAAGCAACAAAAATTACGTACATTTGCCAAAAAATGCAATAAATATTGTAACGTACCTATCATTATACATGGATAACGAAAAACGTTCATATATCTGTACACTTAGAATGGTATTCATAAACTTTCGGTAAATAATTGCTATTTCATTCATCAGGCGATTAATTTTCACAAATATTTTTGTAAAGCGTCTTCTTGTTTTTATTTTTAGAGGTAATACCGGCTTGTTATTGTAGCGGGTAACAAATGACATTATTTTAATATTTCTCATTGGCGATATAATAAAATAACATTATGCACAATACAAATAAAACGGTACTCACGTTTTCTCCAAAATGTTGGTAAACAATTCACAAATTCACAATTAGAGCAGAGCGAATCAAGCCATAAACAAACAAGGCCGAAAAATAAGATGGAGGTTGGAGGGACGATCAAAATGTCAGAATGACATTTAGCAAAACTATTCTCTACCCCTTTGTAACTATCACGCTACGCTCTCGCTCTCTTTTATATTAGATCTGGAATGCAAGTCCAAGTGTGACCAACAACTACATGTATTTTATTATTAAAAACAAAACGTTTTAAAATGCTTGAGCAATCTAAATCTAATACTTGACTTCTTAAAAACTCTACTTCTTAAATAAACTTCCAAATCAGAATGTAATCGCTGTACAGAATCAGATCGAAAAGTATAAATTCCAAACAAAGCAGTATACTAACTTTCCACGATATTTTTCAACAAATATTTTTCGAACAATTTATTTGAACTTACTATTTATTCTGGGGTACCCAAAGCGCACCTAAAAACTTCGTATCTACAAGGTAACACTTCGAATGCGACATGTCATCATCGTGTTGCTAAACATGTTGGAAATCAGCGAGGACCTTTTGAACTACATCCCATTTTTTTTATAACAGTTTGAACCTTTTGCACTTTGAATGTGGACTTCAGGATACCTTGTATAATTGTAATAATTATGATATAATAATTGATAAGATTATGTAGGCTAGCATTATCGAACTCACTTACTGTGGGCGACTGCTTATATTTTTAAATGTTTTTTTTTATTATCAAGTATTAAAAAATATATAAATCAAGCATGAAAATAAATGAAGAGAATGCCTAATTTTAATTTTGATGTCCGTCTGATATATTACTTTGAAACACAAGACACATATTTTTTATTTTCTTACAAACAAATAGTTTCGACGCTATATTGATTTGAAATGTCGCGTTACGTCACTTTACTATAACTTTACCATCAACTTCGCATGACCCTAATTTACTTGAACTTATACATTGTTTGTCAAAATATTCTCAAAGATGAGAACAGTATTCCAAACCACTTAGAAGCAAGTGGTAGGCTAGGGTAAAATACTGCCTCGATCTATTGAGCACATCAAGCCTATTTGTAAAGTTTGCCTTCCTCGAAGCTGATAATGTACATACGTGTATTAGAAATAAAAATATAGATCTGAACTTAGCTACTTATTTAATTACCGTCCCTTCAAGTATTCCAGTATTAAAAGTTAACATTTTTCTGGTTTTGTCTTGTCCACTACCGCATATGCAACGCCCATAAAAACATCCGTGGTTGACACCACATTTTAGGAGACATCTGCTCATTACTATTGGTGACGTACACTCTTTGTAATAGCTTCTTCGTAAGGATGTAGTATCAGCAGTCACTGAAAATTACTGTTATTTTTTATCACTATTATCTTTCTGGATTCCATACTGTGGATACCTATTAAATGGTGGCTAGAATTTTTTATACTTGGATAATGTTTGATGGGTCGACGTTTCGCAACTATCTAGCGAGGAGGTAAGCGATGGTGCGGCCTACAATTTTCACGCCCATCTTTTCCCGACTTCAGATCGCTCATAATTTATTATTCAATATTTTTTGGACACATTTGTCTCATCCTTTTGCAATGGGTTTTATTTTACTGCTTTTTAATCGTGTTCCAAATATTATTTGACCCAGCTATATCTACATTTTAATTTATGGAATTTGAATAATTTTATTAAATATCTTATAGGTAGGTTTATGTAACTGACACAAAGTATTTAAGTGTGGGAGATCCATACACAACGGCCTCACAGAAAACCGACATGAAAAATGTTTTGTTTCGTCGTGTGAGTAAGGTTACCACAGGCCCAGTTACCTCACTCCCGAATCCGGGAATCACCAACAATCCTCAAATTCCTAATCCCCAAAAGGCTGGTAATGCACTTGTAACACTTCTAGTGTTTCGGGTGTCCATGGGCGGCGCCAAGTGGAGACTTACCATCAGGAGATCCATGTGTTAATTTACCGGCTCATTCAATTAAAAAAGAGAAAAACGAAAAATTATGAATTGATATGCTATTTACCTGAGCAAAATATTAACAACAGAAATATACAATTAACTACGTTATCCATGTGCACGTATTTAAAAGACATTTCCCCACAAATGACACTTTTGAATGACTTTTGATTGATTATTCGCATGAAAAGGAATTGACAAAAAAAATCGTAAAATGAAATACCTTATAAAATTGATTTCACAGTAACCAAAGAACTTAAACAATTGTACGATTAATTAATTCTCTTATCAGGTCTTTTCTTAATCAAAAATACTGATTCAAAATATAGTGAAAATTTAAACAGTTATAATTTCTACATACATACATCATACATCAACACCTATAAATGCCCACTGCTGAGCAAAGCCTCTTCTCACACGGAGAAGGTTTGAGCATTAATCACCACGCTTGCTCAATGCGGGTTGGTGATTACAAACTTATAATTAGAAATTATAAGCCCAGGTTTCCTCACGATGTTGTCCTTCACCGTTTGTCAGTAGTGTCTGAATAATCTCAAAAAGTACATATAACTCGGAAAAAGTCATATTGGTACTTGCCGTTGGTGGGTGGTCAGGTGGGGAACCCGCACCCTCATGCATGAGAAGCGGGCGTCTTAAACCTTCGAGCCACCACGTCTATTTCTACATATATTTATTTAAAATTCTATATAAAATAATTTTTTTAAGTACTATTTCTACTATTATCATTCAAACATTATTATTATAAGAAACAGTATTCTGTTTTCTCACACACAACGTGTACATGTTTCCCATTGTACCTATGTATGTTTGTAATGTTTTCGCATTGCGCATAAATAACTACTGACTGGACCAAAATCAAAAAAGCATACGCTATAAAAAATACGAGATACCTAGGTATTTCACGACAAGCCTTGTCTTATGTCTTTGTACCTATTAACGGGCGGAAGCATGATAATAAGTAATAATGAATGATTGTTATAATCATAGTTTGAAATGTTTGTTACGTTCAACTATCTTGAAATTAGTTTAAAAAAGACAAATTAATAAATCTATACAAAATTACTCCCGTCCAATAATAAAGTAATGTAAGTGCTTATCACAAAAAAAAAATTATATACTACCTAAATCCAGTTTTTTATTGGTAGGATGAAAGTTTAAAACCAGAAAACGGGCATATGATACTTTTTATCAGATTTCCCATAAAAAGGACAATGCCAGGTGCTCAGTACATCTTAGAAGACCCACTATATTAGAAGTCATGTACAAGTATGCAGTATTCAGCATCGTGTAGTGTATTAATTACCGATACCTAAACATTTGTCCTGAAACCTGTAAAACTTGCGGTTTTTATTTAAAACACAAAACAATAATGATAAATAACGCGAAAACAACGGAAACGCAGAGAGCGAATGAAAGATAACATTGACACTGACAGCTGACACTGACAAGCGCTTCAAAACGTTTCGTTACACAAAAAAATCATAACTAATGATAGTAATAGTTTATTTTATATTTTCGTGATTTCATCAGTAATTATTAATAAATAAATAAATGTTATACATAATTATACTTTTGATATAATATTTTATGTATAATGATATCTTTTTTACAGTTACTTACTTTTTTATTTTAATAGTTTCATACAAGCGATGCGTATGATGTAACGCAAATAGTCATTGGACAATATGGAAGACGGAAAATATTTCCGGGACTTCTTTTTTTATTAGATTGCAAACCGCAAGTTTAAAAATAAAAAGATTTATTGTGAAAAGGTTCCTTATTCGTCAAAATTATTTTCATCAATTTACTTTTTTTGTAAATGATATTATGACTGGGTCAGGATCTGGCATTGTCATTTCGGGTACGAAAAAAACGGGATAGCGTGTACAGGGAGTTAAAAAAATTACACTTTGAATTTGTTCAATCGTTGTTGTGGTGTTCACTGATTTGATATTGAAATTTATAATAAAACAACCTTGTTTATAGTAAGTAGTGCACCGCTCAAGGGAACGAATGTGGTGTTCACTGATTTGATATTGAAATTTATAATAAAACAACCTTGTTTATAGTAAGTAGTGCACCGCTCAAGGGAACGTTCGCCCGCCACTTCTAACAGATGGGAAGTGTGTGGTGCGACACCGTTGACCTGTGACTACATTTATTGTTTATATATCACATCTCTTCCTTTTTATATTAATTTAGAATTAGAACTATATTTATAATTACTACCGCTTCCTAGTGCTTTTGCTGTGGAGAAGAAACGGCGCAACAAACTCCCCAGCAGCACACTGTCTTTTATAATTAAATTTTATTGAATATATAAAATTAGTCATACTTAAGCAGTTACAATGAATATTATATACAGGACAATGTTTAATTATATCAGAACTGAATTAAGTTTCTGAAATCAATAAAACTTCTAAACATCTGATCTGATCTGATTTGATATAAATCTAAATTGTAAATCTAAATCTAAATCTTAATTTTGAATTAAACCTAACTAAACATCATTATCTGAGGATTGAGATTTTTCTTCACTACCAATGACTTTCCATTGGCCTTCTACTTTTTTTAGATGTACAATGTTTCGTCTGTACTCCTGACCAGTATCATCATTCCTAATATGTACATCGCTTCCTCCAGTGTTAATAACAGTATGAGGTGTTGGATTAAATTCAGAAGCTAATTTGTTGTCTTTTACCAAGTTCTTCACATATACCTTTTCTCCAATTTCTAAATCTTTATCTACAGCTCGTCTTCTCTTGTCTTCATTTACCTTTCCGAGTTCCTTTTTTTCTTGATCATGATCTCTAACTTCGGAATCATTGTAGTTACTTTCGAGGTCAGCTAAAAAGGGTAATTTGTCTCTAAATTGCCTTCCATAGAAGAGCTCTGAAGGAGATTTTCCTGTGGAAGGATGAGGTGTGCTGTTATACATCATAAGATATTTTAATAAATCATCTTTCCAGTCTGATTTCTCGCATTGACTGATTCTAAGCCGTTTGAGGATATCCCTATTTTGTCTCTCTACCTCTCCGTTTTGTTGTGGCCAGTAAGGGATTGTATTGAAAAGAGTAATTCCTTGTTCCATACAAAATGATTTAAATTCATGACTACAAAATTGTTTGCCATTGTCGGCTGTTATACTAGAAGGATTTCCCGTACGTGAAAAAATTTGTTTTAACACTTTTATTGTATCTTGTGTAGTTATAGATTTCATAATTTCGATTTCTTTGTATCGGCTGTAGTAATCAATGATTACAAAGAGGTAATCTCTACTCGGCAGTGGACCCAAAAAATCAACAGCTATATCTACCCAAGCCTTTGAAGGAAGTTCACGCCTTTTCATAGGTACAGGAGGATTGGGGGCTGAGACTAAAGTGCACCCTCTGCAATTTTTTACAGTATTTTCAGCATCTTTGTCCATTTTCGGCCACCAAACCTTTGTACGTAATCTAGCTTTCATGTTAACTATGCCTGGATGGCCTTCATGGGCCAATGCTAAAACTTGTTTTCTCAACATAGAAGGAATTACAATTTTATTTCCCCTTAACAAAATGCCATCATGTACCCAAAGTTCATGTTGAAATAGTTTGTAATTATTTATTGAACTATGCCAAACATCACCCATTACAGCTTTTTTTACTAAAATAAACTCTTTATCATCATTTGATGCTTCAATAATTGATTTAAGAGGCAAAGCTACCGGTCGCGCATAGTGAACAATCTGGTTAACATGATGTTCATCTTCGAAAGAACTTTTATGTAAAATGGGACTTGTGCACAGACGGGATAATGGATCTGCTATATTCGATTTTCCGGGTTTGTAAATTACTTTATAATCGTATGTTTGTAATCGAAGAACCCAACGTTCGATACGAGCGCAAGGTTTCGAGCTTGTACCAAATATGACTTCTAATGGCTTATGGTCTGTGATAAGTTCAAATTTTTTACCATAAAGATACATATGAAAGTGTTCAATTGCCCAAACTAACGCTAATGCCTCCTTTTCGGTTTGACAGTAACGTTTTTCAATGTCTGTCAAACTTTTGTTGCCAAAGGCAATGATGCGAGGTCCTCTGTTATCGTACTGAATTAGCGCGGCTCCTAAACCTACAGGACTTGCGTCTGCGATTACTTGGGTGCGATCTTTGGGGTCGTAATAACCTAGGTTAGGAATTTTAGTTAGACATTTTTTTAGTTTATCGAAAGCTATTTTTTGATCATTTAGCCAGAAAGCTGTGATATTAGCGTTTTTATGCATACTTTTCTGGAGTAATTTTCGAATAGGCTCTGTGAGAGTAGACAAATTGGGAATCCATTTTCCAACGAAATTTATTAGTCCTAGAAAGCTTTGGATTTCTTCGATGGTTTTCGGAGGTCGAAAGGTTTCGATTATTTTGATGTATTTGTCAAGTGGTTTAATGCCTGCTGGTGAAAGTTCGTGACCCAAAAACTGAATAGATTTTGTGTTGAAAAAACATTTATTTTTGTTTAATAACACATTGTTATCTCTGAGTACGGTCAATAAATGTTGAAGCCTAGCTTTATGTTCTTTTTCACTGCATCCAAAAACAACAATGTCATCAATAAAGTTAACGACTCCTTCACATGGCAATAGCATTCTTTCCATTATTTTTTGAAAATGTTCAGGTGCACATGATATACCGAACATTAACCTCTTATATCGATACAGTCCTTTGCTAGTTATGAAGGTTGTGATTTCTCTACTATTTTCTTCAAGTTCAACCTGGTGAAAAGCATTTTGTATGTCTAGTTTTGAGAATAAAATTGCTTTGCCAAATTTGGGAATGAGTTGTTGCATGGTGGGTAAGGGATGATTTTCTCTTATAATAGCTTTGTTGGCGGCACGCATATCCAAACAAATACGAATATCACCATCAGATTTCAGAATAGGTACCATCGGAGTAATCCAAAGAGAAGGTTTATTTACAGGTTCAATAATGTCCATTTTTACTAATTCCTCTATTTTTTTATTTATTTTTGATTCCAAGGGAATTGGAACCCGTCTGTATGGTTGACAAACTGGAGGAACAGTTTTATCAATGGTGATTTTTAGTAGCACATCCTTAAACTTGGGAAAATGTGTTTGTTCAATAGAATTTACATCGAAACCAAGTCTTAGCACTTTAAGAGAAATGGCAGTTTCTTTACCCAAAAGATTTCTTGAACCATTTTCTATGACATAGAATTTAGTCATTAAAGATTTGGTTCCGACTTTTATATGTGCATCAAATGAGCCTATCACTTTTAATGGATGGTTTGCTCCATAAGCCATAAACGTTTTGTCTGAAGACTTTTGTGGATTGAAAATTGTAACTTTACATTGCTTCATGTGTTCCCAAGTTTTATCATTTATAATATTAGATTTGCTACCAGAATCAATTAGCATTGAGATGTTTACTCCACCTACCTGACAATCTATTGTTGCATCGTCATCGATGTGGAAAATATAGTCTACTGTAGTAGCGTCAGTGTTTTTTGGAGATTCGAATCTAGGTTTTTTATTCTTGTTACTGTTTTTTGATGAGAGGTTGGTACTTTTTCTTTTATGGGCCCTTGTTTTACAGTGTTTTTGGAAATGACCTTTAAAACCACATTTCATGCAATTAGCGTTAATTGCAGGGCAGGAACTATTATCACCTTTGTGATTTTTGCTGCCACATCGGCAGCACATGTTAACCTCATTTTTAGTGTCTCGTTTTATATTGTGACTGTCTATTTTATTAAGGCTGGAAGACGATGTAATTGTGCCCTGTTTATCGTGGAACTCATTAAGCTGACGTTGTACAGTTTCAAGCGAGTTTGCTTCCGAAATTATTTTGTCAATTGTTGCTGTATCCCCAAGTATTAAGATATTTTTCCTCAATTTAGAAGAGCTACATTTTTCAACTATTTGATCGATAAGATTTTCGTCTTCTTTAGCAAAGTTGCATTTTGAGCTTTGTCGTCTCAGACGAATTAAAAATGTTTCAAATTTTTCATCTGATTCTTGTTTCATCAGTCGAAAAATATGTCTTTCAAACAGGTAACTTTGTTTTGGAGAAAAATAGTCGTCTAATTTTTTAATAGCGACATCATAAACGTCATTCACGTCAGGGTTAGTTACGTGAGCTCCTGGTATATTAAAATAGATGTCTTGCAGTCCCATACCACCCGAATGTAATAACATTGCACGTTTTTTATTTTGCTCATTGGTGTTTGTGGCTACAAAGTATATGTCTAAAGCTCGTTTCCACTTAACCCAACGAGAACTCACTGAGGTTGTATCACCTTCGCAATCGAATGGTTCTAATGTTGGGATCTGTGATTGGGACATTTTGGATGATCTGCAAATAAGGAAGGAGCCACTATAGTAATCTATCTTAAAAATAAAATACACTAAATGTGCTTCTCTTGTATTTTAACTGAAATACAAATATATATATTTAATTTAAAATTTATAGTGGGTATCTGTATATATCACAGTAGCTACGCCTAATACTAATTAGCAGCATAGGTATATTACTTTATGTTTATAATAGTATTAAAACATATTCTATTCGGTTTTAACTTCGGCATGAGCTTATCAGTGAATTAAGCTATGCGAGTCTATTTATAGAAACTTTTGTTACTATGGGTCGCAATGTAAACAAACTCGAGTGTACAACAAATCCTCTATACTGGTAGGATCATATTTAGGAGTGTAGTCATGAGTAGGTAACGATAAACAGTGCTTCATTTAATAATTTTATATTTGGCCTCAATAGATTTTAGACACGTCTTGTTTAGTTTTAACAGGAACAATGAGACAAAGAATTTTATCTTCATAACTTCATTTCTGAAGTAGTACTTTGTTAAAACTGGTAATTAGCGACTATGTTCGCTGGGACAAATGTGAGACATTGCTTAGTTTTAACAGGAACTTATTATATCAGCTTCATGAAAATTATTCATGTAGCGGGTACTTTGTTAAAACGGGTAATTAGCGACTTTGTGCGCTGGGACAAATTTTAGACACTTGTTTAGTTTTAACAGGAACTAATTATATTAGCTTCATGAAAATTATTCATGTAGCGGGTACTTTGTTAAAACGGGTAATTAGCGACATTGTTCGCTGGGACAAATTTTAGACACTTGATTAGTTTTAACAGGAACTTATTATATTAGCTTCATGAAAATTATTCATGTAGCGGGTACTTTGTTAAAACTTGTAATTAATTAACGATTACAATCGTTGGGACTTTTTTTTTTGTTTGTTTTATCTGCAAGTAGTTTGGCCACAATGTATACTCGTAAAATCACAGTTGAACGTGTAGGTACTTCCTTAATAGGCATTGTAAACATGCAGGCATAAGAATATTATATAAACAATACAAATTCAACAATTAAATTGATGGGAACAATTTTACTAATATTCTGTTTAATTTGAAATACCTACATACCCGCGATTTTTTTTTTTTTTTTATAGATTTTGGCCAATTTATGCAGATAGTTTTTGAACGATGAATTTCACTTACTGCGCTTTTACTCGTCGCCAATGTGGTGTTCACTGATTTGATATTGAAATTTATAATAAAACAACCTTGTTTATAGTAAGTAGTGCACCGCTCAAGGGAACGTTCGCCCGCCACTTCTAACAGATGGGAAGTGTGTGGTGCGACACCGTTGACCTGTGACTACATTTATTGTTTATATATCACAGTTGTGATAATAATTTATGAACGAGGAAATCACAAAAGTTTAAAAACATTGAGTAGGTAAGTAGTGAGTTTTTTCCTTTTTATTTTGTTACTTATTGTTATTGCGAGCTTGACTCATAATAAGTACCAATAAAAAATAATAATTCAACTTGAACTAAGTCACAATAGTGCGTAAATTATAATGACTTATGTCTAAATTATGACAAAATTCTGTAATTAAATATGTAGTTTCTGAATAAATAACATTTTAAAACTTTATCATCATCATCATCAGCCTGTATTCATCCACTGCTGGACATAGACCTCTCCAATTTAAAACTTAGTTACTAATAAATTTATGCAAGTAAACTTCTATAATATTGAATTTGATTTTGTCTTAAGTTTATTCATTCGTCGTTCTAAAGAAAGTATTTCTTTCTTAATATTTTATTATTGAACTTAATAAATTGATAACGTTTGTGATTGGAAATTGAACTTTTTAAATTATGTAATCATAATAATTTAATAATAACGTATTTTGTATATTTTGTTATTATCGAAGTATGTTAAACATTCTAACTTTTTATTTTTTCATTAAATTTTGCGAACGAAAAATTTTCTTCTAATTTTTATTTTCTGGCAATAATTTCAAAAGCGTTCCTGGTTAATAACTTAGTTAAATTAGCATTTAGTTCTTTGGAAAAAGTCATAACATAACCTTAAAACACATTGTTTATTCAAATTCACTTCAGAGCAGAGAGTATAGTTGTTATTTGAGTATATAATTATTACTTTTAGAACAAACTAGTGACGGTAAGTGTCTTCTATTAGACTAACTTGCGTTTAAGCCTTATAAGGCCTCATCGATTTTCGAAAAGTAACAACAAAATTTTAAAAATGTTTTGCGATCATGGTTGATATGTTTATATTTTTATTTATTTACAGACTATGGCAGAAACTGGCCCATTTTCCAGCAGTACTGCTTTCTGTGCACGATGTGGTTCCATATTACCACTGCTCCAAGAATTCGGCTCGGTCAAATGTTATGCTTGCAAAGCTTCATTTGATGCTGAAAGTAAGTTCAATATTATTACCCTTAACACATAATATACTTAACATTAACATCAGACTTCTATAGGAGGTTCAAGTTTATCAATGAGCTCTGTTGCCTAGTCTATTAAATGTGTAGTCTATTAGTCTACTAGTCTACTCTGATGATAACCTCGCTATGAGTACCTAAGAGTGTTGATACTGTTGATAAATCTTTTCTATAATTACCATGTGACATAGCTGTACCAAAAGATTATAAAAAAATTGGTTATTCAAAAATGTTAGTGTCTATCCGAGATTTTGTTATTTTGAGTTATTTTATTAGGAGTACCATTTTATTAAAATCCCACTTATAGTGTAATCTAGAACTTCATCTTAAAGATTGTAAATTTAATAACTTTTGTATCCTCTTCTAAATGTTACACAATATATGATTTTGTCAAACCAATGACATTCTTTAATTTCGAAATCCGCATTGGCCACAACTATGAAAATTTATGTTTATAATGTTGTTAGTATTGACTTCATAAATTAATAAAATCCTGTTTCAGATTTCAGCGACTTAAAATTCAACTATACAATTCATTTCAACACAGTATCAGTGGTGAGCAATGAAAATATACTGAATATGGATGGTCCAGAAGGTCCTGTTGTGGAACGAAAGTGTCCGAAATGTGGCAACGATAGAATGTCTTATGCTACGTTACAACTGCGGTCCGCTGATGAAGGACAGACTGTGTTCTACACCTGTATATCTTGCAAGTACGTTTTATTGCTATTTTATTCTAGTTCATTTCATTCCTACTTACACTTGATTGAAGGATCAAAGCAAAGCCACTGAGGTGTGCTTTTACAAGTGGCTTTGCCCATTGCCCACATTCCCATGGGATAAAAGTAGTCTATTTGTTATTCTAGACCATGATCTACCTCTGTGTGCTTACTCTTGAATCCGATTCTGATCGATTGACATTGATATTGTGAAGTTTCATACTCTGGAGGTTCAACACTAGCGCCAATTGCACCTGTATTGCATGGGTATTTGTTGAACTAAATGGTGTTGAGTTTGGTTTTATATTCCGAATTCTGAATGCTATTTTAATTTAACAGCTATAATAGAGGTTGTATAGTTTTGACATTGAATAATTATTGAGGTTTAATTGGATTATTTTGGCATAAGCCGGTAAACGAGCAGACGGATAACCTAATGGTAAGCAATCGGCGTCGCCCATGGACACCTGGAACACCAGACGCGTTACAAGTGCGTTACCGGCCTTTTGGGGATTAGGAGTTTGAAGATCGTTGGGGATTCAGGAATTGGGGAGATTGGGGAAGGGGAGGGTAATTGGGCCTCCGGTACCCTCACTCACACGACGAAACACAACGCAAGCGTTGCTTCACGTCGGTTTTTTGTGAGGCCGTGGTATCACTCAGGTCGAGCCGGCTGAAGCATGGCTCTCCTACACTTCTCCCACTCTTGGATTGCAATTGCATTGTCATTGAGATTGGTTTCAAGAGTAAGCACCCTGTTTCAATTTTCATTTTGATGTGCTTAAGTGACAAACTAAACATTCTTTCGCATTTGTAAGATGTGAACCTTTATGAGAATGAACGTTGGGCAGTCAGGCATAGAAAAGACACAAATTAAATCATAACCTAACATGACATCACGCCTTTTACCCTCGAAGGGGTAGGCCGAGGTGCACATTACGCCACTGTACAATGTAACACCCACTTTTCACTATTTATGTTATGAGTCCTATGTAATAGGGGGTGCCATATACCGGGCACAATTCCAGACTTAGTGCTACTACTTAGAATTTTTTAAAACCCAATAATACTTTGCCCGACCCAGGAATCGAACCCGATACCCCTAGCCCGGCAGTCGCACTTGCGACCACTCGCCCAAAGAAGCAGTCACACACATTTAATCATTGATGTTATTTCTTTTCAGGTACAAGGAGACAGAAAATTCATGATAATTGTATATTATTTTGTTACAGTTAATTATAAAATGTGTAAAGAAGTTAATTTTAAGTAAATTTTGTATTCTATTATTTTTGCTTTATTATTTCATAATCGCTTGATTTTTTCACTGCATTTTAAAAAGTGATTGGTGAACTTCATATTTGATATTCGTAAGGATAGGAAACTATGCTAATTTCATCAGTTTTTTATTAAATTTTTAGTCAATTAATCTTATGTTATGTAAATTCGAGACCGATATACATAGAATGTTTAATTTCACCTGTAATGTGTAGAACATATGAGGCACGCGAAAATCTAAAAAAAAAAAATTGTTCGACCTCCTAGCTCGGCAGTAGCAGTTGCGACTCGACCGACTTGTCATTCACCTTTGAGTATTTTACTTAATCAAATCAACGTATAGAACCTAATTTTTTTAGCTAATCAACCTCCAATTCCTATATATCCCCGATATCCCAACTACCCAATCCCAGCGCAGCGAGGCGACCTACATATTTTCTTAAACACTAGTCATTAGGTACCCACATCACTCGACTCATTCAAGCCACAGGTGAAACTTACAGTTTCACATTCAGCACGAAGAATCTAAGCATTTTTTTACAAAGAGTGAGATAGACATACTATTCTATATAAGTGTAAAAGAGTCAAGTAATAGTTTTTGATCGAGAGCGTTGCGGAGTCGAGATGAGACGGTAATTAATTTGATCAGTACGTTGCTTGCGTAGGTTTAGTGATGTGGTGTGTCGATGGATTTTTATCGATATTTGGGGTTATAGAACATATTCTAAAACTGAAATTAATATTTTGCTTCTTAGTACTCCTTTGAATTTAAAGATAATTTATTGAATATTGTTATTTTCGAAGTAATAAGTTGGTAAGAGTACCTATACGAACACGAGTGGTACAGTCAGCTAAGTAGGCACGGCTCTCTGAAAACTTTCTTATACGTACGGAACAATCCGAACAATGATTATTTCAGCAATCAGTTTTACGAATGTTTATTCCTATAGGTATAACAAAATATTATTACACGAATCCGAACCACTTTCAACGCCAGTACTACTTATCTTAGTCTAGTTTAGATAAGTGTAGATTTATTATACGGCTTAAAACAATAACGGTAAGTTTAATCTGACCGCCCATTGTGATCCTCGTAGAACTGACAGCATCTCACCGCCTACGCATCGTGTTACAATATAAGGCGGTCGCTGTAATAAGGGGCAGAAGGATAACTAAATATTTATGATGTTTATAATTATTTCTGTTGGAGGGTAATCTATTCATTACCTACTTTTCGGATTGACAATATTGTAGTATGCAGTGATTGCACAATTATGACATTCCATTCTTGGATTGAGAGTGGTACGTCCTGGTATGAAATAAAATGATATGAAATAAAATTTCGTTGTGTGAGTGAGGTTACCGGATGCCCAATTACCCCCCCCCCATCTCTTTCCCCAATCCCTGAATCCCTAACAATCCTCAAATTCCTAATTCCAAAAGGCCGGTAACGCACTTGTAACGTCTCTGGTGTTCCAGGTGTCCATGGGCGACGCAGATTGCTTACCATCAGGTGATCCGTCTGCTCGTTTACCGGCTTATACTATAAAAAAAAAGTTCATATCGACAAATAAGGGAAGCCAGCTGTATTTAAATAATATGCACCTGTTACAAAATGTCTACACAAAACCATGTCTTCAAAGTTACCCTGAACTTTATCAGTCAGCTGGGATATAACACAGGATACTTTCAAGTCTGAACACTTAACCAAATTAAAGTGGACAATTACTACCGCTAACTTTACCCAGTTACAAGCTTTTTATTTGGATAAAACTAACGGCTCTACCAGCTGGGTACTTTGAACACGGTTGTGCTTCGCTATGGCGTATCGATATCGATGTGCCGTTTCACCTGTCACTAGTGCGGGGGCCGGGCGGCAGGTGCGCGCAGACGCGGCGGCGCGCCAGTCTCCCGCGGCACTCGCTCCGACCACACGTCGCGACACACCGCTCAACTATCGACAAACTCGACACGTGCGTGGCGCAACCCTATTCTGTTGTTCTATATAAAAAACTGTGTTGTGTTTACCCCTGACGTCTGGATAATATAGAAAACTCTAACTGGTAAGTCATTCCTCACAACTTTCTTTTAATTTCGGGTATCACCTTATTTGGATTATGTTTTGGTTTCAGTGTGATAATTCAGTAATGCGTTACCAATTGGTACAATAACGTGTTTTGAACGTTCGCAACGGTGAAAATCCGCTTTTCGCTTCGCTTTTAAGTATGTCAGTGTGTTAGCATTTTCTTCGGTACAAAAAAAACATCGAAATGTTCTGCCATTTCGGCTATAAGTATACTTTCATTTGAATTGTGTTAAAATTCGCGATATCATTTTGTTATTGCTATCAATTAAGTCGTCCGACATTCTCTTCTGACTTTCAGAACATTTTAACATGCGAGGCGATGTTAAAATGTATGTAGCGACGCAGGATTGTTAAGACGTTTGTATTTCGCGGCGGAAAGATGTATTTTGTAAACGATAAAGATAAGGCCGGCGGAGAAACATGGCTGTATAAAAGGCGCATACAAAAGACATCAACGCGCCACGCACGCGCTTGCTGCGCGGGCCCGTGTCAGTAGCCCGGTATACAGTTTTGTATACAAGTTTAGAACATGGGAAATACAATGCGGACTTGTTGTATACATCTTAGCTACCGATCGTAATTATGATTATGTTAATCGCGATAATTTGTTGATCTGGGAATGGGAGAAATGTTTTAATTGTTTCGCGACCGGGAAAAGACGATTGCGAGGTGTAGATCTTATACTAAGATACATAAATAAGAATGTACCTACTACAAGAGGTAACATAAATTCTTCTTATCTACTTAAGAAAGGAGCCGTGTAACTAACTAACACACTATTAATTTCTCATGTTAAACTGAACTTCGTCTTTCAGTACCTACTCCAACACGTTTGCCTTGAAGTCTCGTGCAATTTCCCTATAAAGTTTATTTACACTCCAATAAACGTTGTCATGTTCAATACAAATGGATTACAGCAATACTACGGTACTTACAATCTGTTATTCAACAGACTATTGCAATCTACGATGACGATAGAGTAAAATACATTAGGTAGGTACATAATTATCTTTTCACATAACATCACGCCTGTTATCTCCGAAGGGGTGGGCAGAGGTGCATATTACGGCACTTAATGCCACTGTACAATGTAACACCCTCTTTTCACTATTTATGTTATGAGTCCCATGTATTAGGAGGTGAGTCTGTTGCTATATACCGAGCACAAAAAAGAACAGCAATACTTTGCCCGGTCCGGGAATTGAACTCGAGACCCTTGCCCAGCAGTCACACTTGCCACCGCTCGGTCAACGAGGCAGTCAGAATTATCTTTTCATTATATATTTCTTTTATAAGGGATAAGCCTGTAAACGGGCAGACGTATCACCTGATGGTAAGCAATCGGCGTCGCCCATGGACACCCGAAACGCCGGATACGTTACAAGTGCGTCATTGACTTCAGTGCTCCGGTGTTTTCATTGTTGTATTACAGTGGATCCTGGCTTTCAGGAGTTGCAGCGGTTTTGGGAGGATGTGGCGAGCTTGTCCCAATAAATAAAGTGCGTTTCAGACCTTTGGGGGTTAGGAATTTGAGGATTGTTGGGGATTCAGTGATTGGAGAAGGAGGGGAGGGGTAATACATTTTGTCACCATCCCCACTTGTCTTGCGGGTGTCATAAGTAATAACTAGAGGACTATACATTTGAGAGAGATTAGACAGCATCGCTATTACATGAACCTTTTAAACTACGATCTTCAACTTGCCTACGAAGCGTGGAGTTTTTGGCAAATTCTCTTATGTAGAGAAGGAAGTCTCAGTGGACTCTCACAACTTGTTTATGATATAACAGAAATATTTCTTAGTTTGCAGAGCTAGTCGCTATCTAAGTAATACATTTTGCGGAAAAGAATGATAATGAGATCCACCTTACAACGAGAGAAAGCCTCATTAGTATGACATTCTATATAGTTACTGCTTAACCCTATAGGCAGTGCCTTTAGCCAAACGCCACTTTGGCGCTTGTCTACAGAGAGAGTAGAAAACTAAATGTATGGGGATGACACTGACAAGTGTCAAAATTTACCTCAGTCCCATATAATTTAATTTTCTACTCTACAAGTAGACAAGCGCTAAATGGCATTAGGCTGTAGCCTAATGCCATTGACATTGACATTCAAACCTGCAGCTGTAGCTGCAGGTTTGAATGTGGCACTATGTGTTCCTTATGATGAGTCGTCGTGTATCCTGAACCCAAAAAGTCAAAGCATATTAATTAATTCTCAATTAGGCATTTTTGAAATGTCAAAAATTGAATTGTCCGTCCACCTGTCTGTCAGTGAAGCTAGGTGATGTAGGTATGGCAAAAACCTCCCAAACATTAAATACCTGTAAAACAAAAATCACAGTTCAATCGTCTCCACCCGATTCGCGGAAACGAATCAATCGATGCACAAATCGATTGAACTGTTAATTGAAATCAATCGATTGAAAAGTGAAGACTGTTGGTATCGTATCGATGTATTCAACTTGTCCAGCTTAGACCGGTTAGGTATCGTGGTGGGTACTAAAGTATCGTTTTTAATTTCATTACTACCTCCTTGCTAGGTGAACATTGCTTCGCTGACTTTAGCCATTTTGTTGGAAATTGATGACTGAATGTTCACACAGGAATGTAGGGTTCGATAAATAAGTAAAACTTAGTATCTGAACTGTCTGATCGTCGTCTTAATCAGGATGAATTTTCATGTCAAATAGATTTTGTACACAATTAAATGGAAGTAGGTACTTGAGTAACTCTTAAAACAGGATAAGTAGAAGATTATGATCATAATTATATTGACAAACGTATCCAATCCAAATGTTATTTAACTGAATGTATAGTGAATAAGTATTATATAGTGTCATATAAAGCAACAACCGTACAACCTGCTGGAGATGATTTGATAGTCTAAGAAATTAATAAACGTTATAAGAAATTACTGGGTAAAAGAAGATACCTAATGATGTAAGTAATACACAGCAGTAGGACGTAGCAGTAGCAAGTAGTACGCCCTCTGTGGTTACTACAACTCGAACTGACCTATTTCGGAACAGAATGACCTTCATGATCATCATTACATCAGCTACGTTCACTGCTGAACATAGGTCTCTAGGGCCTAGGCCTCTAGGGATAGACGACCGGATTAAGGTAGCATTGAGCCGTTGGATGCACCGGCCTATCTGAAAGAATGACTTAAACTTAATTAAAAGCCGAAGTGTTCTTATTACAATAAAATGTGTACCTAGGCATAAAAGCACAAATAGACGATCGAACCGAACCGTCACCGTATCATCAATTTGGTTTGGTGCTCCAGTGGTATCCATTGTAGTCTGTAAGAGTCTGACACTCCCTCCCGCCTCACCCAGGTAGGAGCTGTAATTCATAGATTTCCCCCCTTTAAAAAAATCCATTGCAAATGTGCGACAGGCCGCTGTACACACTATCCAAAATGGTCCAGAGCGGACAAAAGTGACGGTTCGGTTCTATCGTCTATTTGTGCTTTTACAAATAAAATCAGCGAACCCCAATATTCGAAACAGTAAGTTTTTGATAGGTACGTTACACTATATATATGTACATATATAACGGTTTCCAAAATTATAAAAGATACGAATCTTATCATTGAACCTGTTATTATTTAAACTTATAATTATTTAATTATGTACGTCGCTTATCTGTGTACCGCCATCTTTGTTTTAAAACGTTAATTTGCTTGTTTTTATGCTAAACTGAGCAGTTTTAATAATTAGGCTGGAAGGGCGCGGTGGAACCGAATTAGAGTTGCTCTAATTTGACTGCTTTCTACGTGTTCTTATATTCAACGGTCTCGTGTTAAAATTGATTATATTTTCAACTGTATAATTTTTTGAAGTAATTAGATTTATTTTGCTTTAGTTTCATGATGATGGAAAATGAATGGTGATGAGACCAAGTGGCTTTTAATAAGGGCAGAAAGAAGAAGAAAACTTTGTATTTATTTTTGAGAAATTGGTGAAAAGTATATCTTAATGTGCTCTTATATAATTGATATTTATATAAGCAAATTATTTAGTTAATAATCATCATAATCCCTTGCATCTTTAATTAACAAACTTTTGGTTAAACCTTTGAACAATTTCCATAACATTATTAAAGGGACACTAAACAATTTCACACACATTCCATTCTCAAACGAAAACAGATTATCATTTTGTGAAATCGAATTTATTAATCAAAACATAAACCGAAGACTTTCTAACAAATATTAAGAAAAGAGAAATATTTCTTTCTATCAAATAACTTGGAGATTATTCAAATTTCGTACTTACGTGTAATTTATACTACTGTAAAAGCACCGTAGCTTTTTTTACTGGTTAATTTATGATTAGAAGATGTAGTCTCACGGTGGAGTTATAATAACATAAATGTGTACTGACTTAGTTTATAATAGGAGGTTGGAGTCTGGAATCGTGGTCATTGTTCGGTGATGGACCTACTTTCGTTCTCTATAACAATCTTAATCCACGATTATGAGAAATCGAGTACATTTTTCACACATTAGGATACATTATCGAAATTTTTACACAGTTCCGTTTGTATTATAAAGCTGAAGAGTTTGTTTGTTTGTTTGAACACGCTAATCTCCGAAACTACTGGTCCGATTTAAAAAATCTTTCTAATTTGGATAGCCCATTTATCAAGGAAGGCTATAGACAAGGCTATAAAATATCACGCTACGATTAATAGACGCCGAACATAGTGAGTGAAACCGCGCGGACGTAGCTGGTTCTTAAATATAGCCTATGTTCATCACTGATAATGTAGGATTCCAATCATATATTTTTAAAAATAGAATCAATAGTTTTGAAGCCTATTCAATTCAAATAGACAAACAAACAAAAAGTCAAATCTTTCTTCTTTATAATATTAGTGTAGTAAAACGTACACGATCTACAAAGTATTGTTAACGCTATTAACACATATGCTTACTCGCTTCGTCTCCGTACTCTCAATCAGA